AACAATAAGTATTATCTTTTGTCCGATCCATACGTACAATGAGAATCCGCGGAGAGAACACAGCTGACCTCAGCGAGAATTTCAATAACATCAAAACTATTTAGAAGTATGAATATATATCGTAATGCTTAAAAACAAAACTCTGCGCTCAGTCACATGGACAACCTGTGTTTGAACTGCACAATGTATGAAGAAAACATTATACCGACTTTTGTGTATGAACAAAACCACTCTGTAGCATAAAGGAAGTTTCATTTTTCCCACATCCACAAGTTATTTCCCAGCTGTGCGATCACTGAAAAATTGCTGTTGTACTAAAAACATTGCTGAGTCGGTGTATACTATCCCTTAAGAAGCCTATTGTTTATTGAGCTTGTTAAGAATGGTGCCAATGAGTGAATCTGAATAAAGAAAACGGCTTGAGTTCCAATTAGCTGCACTAATTCTGTGAAAATGTGTAGCAAAAGCAATTGGATTTATGCTACAACATTAGCTTTGCAATAAGTGCACACAACCATTACATTAGCCAGGGTTTTAGAATAGCTCTTAAAACTGTGATTTACCCTTTCTTATAATGAATGAGATTACCATTAAGTACAATGTTTACAATGAAGTCTACGCATTAAACAGAAGTTTGTTCTCATAACAGGACTGAGCCAAAAATATCTTCAGACATGGAGAAGCCTGACCTCCTTAGTGCTTTGGGACTGACTGTACCAGCCATGGAATCAGAAAAACAAACTTAAACTTGTGTCTGAGACCCGACCAATATAGTCCTCTTTGTCCCTAGAGGAAGAGTAGAAACACAATCGGGAACCTGACTAGAGTTGGGGATGCTATGGAAACAAGCAATACTTGTCCACATGTTCTGTTTCACTTTCATTTTCTGTTGTTACTGTTTTTCTCTTAATTATCACATGTATCTCTTCTCATTGGATGAAGTTCTCCCGACCAATGATATCTCACCATCTGAGACGGGTTTAAAGTTACTGCACTAAGGTGCCTAGATGGTTTTGGCTCAGTTTGCCATATTTGGTTAATTTTCTAACCACTCTATACTCCGCAGAAGCCCCCTTCGATAGGCCTACCAAATGCAGAGAGCCTATTAGCTACGTACCCAACTATATCTTTATTCTTCAATATTATTGTTCTTAGTTTATAACATAAACATTCTATTCCAAAGGTATCCAGGCTCCGGGTCTTCATCAGCTTTTCAATCTTTAGGGAGGTTAAAAATTGGTGCTACAGTCAATGCATTTGTTATCTCTGTGATATGTTGTGACTCACCTAATATAGATATTTAGCAATGTTTTATGTTGTTTATCACTATGCATAATTGTTGTTTTTTTTTGTTTTTTTTAAGGAGGTCTGTTTGCACAGTTAAATTTTTATTTTTGCAAAACAAACAAATATGTATTTTGTCTTTTATTTATATTATACCTTTGTTTGTAAATTAAATCACAAGATCTGTGTCCAATTTCCTTAGGCCAAAAACTTCCACTCAATCTTATTTTATATGTTTCTCTCTGAAGAACATTGAGATAGAAGCTAGTGACTCAGGTCAATAAGAAATCTCTTCTGAAATCTTTTTATTTGGTTCCAATTTTATTGTGTACATTTCTCAGAGTTATAGCTCTTATAACAGCTAGTGAGCGGCCTATAAGCTACCCCTGTCCTACAGGGACAACTTGCTGGGCAGTAATGCAAGACTATGTCGTTTCCATCTATCTAATCCAGCGGGCATTATATAGCACTTTGGCAATACATCAGCAGGTTTCTTCCCACACTTTGGTGTTTTTATTTTCATTGAATTGAAGCCAAATGATAACAGCTGCTTGGGTAGCTTGTCATGCTGGCACAGACTGAATCGAGCACACCAGAAGATGCTGGTTTTGTAAATATACTGTGTACAGAGAAATTGCTCCCCTACATTGTGGAAATATATATTTGTGGCTTACTTTAATAGAAAATCATATTTTTTTTCTCCCTGCAATAGTTTGCAAATCAGGATTTGTTTGTGATCAATTTGCGCATCTTTTATAGCATCCGGAATTATTTAAATGATTGATGTCTTATAGGTACCACGTCATATATGCCTTATTGTGGTCAATCTCTGGTACTATAAGCACAATCCCATGCTATTCGGTAATATTTGTAATATTTGTATGTCTTATTACACAGCGACTGCAGCATCCTAAATTTAGATCCAAACAGTTGTTTCAATTTAATCTGGATTATGCAGGACACGCTGTCTAGAGTTCTGGAACTCCTTGTCAGACTCAGTGTTTAGATTGAAATCAGAGAGCTGGATCCCTTTTAGGAATTACCAAGCAATCAGTCCACTTAACATGATGCCATTGCTTAGGATTAATTTGGTCTGTACCTGCTCTACCCTGTTCTGTTACCTCAGACAAAAAAGTAAGCTATAAAATTGTTTTGAATGTTAACTTTATGTTGAGCAAAGGGAATATCTGTGTATTTCTAAATGCATCTGTCAATCAAATGTAAATTTTAAAGGGTTACTACAACCACCATGACCACTTCTGCCTTTAGAAGTGTTCATGGTGGTAGGAATCTGTATGTGCAGCGTTTCTGCTTGAAATGCTGAAAATCAAGAAATATTTTAATTTTTTGTGCCAGGGCTAGTTACCCTCCCAGCACATGTGACTTCAGAGTAACAGGGTTCCGGGGTGCCTAATGTTAAATCTGTGCATAAGAATCATCTGTCGTCAGCGCGCACTTTGCACATAATACTTACACGAAGCTCTAGGAGCACACCTGCAAGGGGAAACGTCTCCTCCTTCCATGTGCTCCCTGCATTTACGTATATTCACTTCCTTCCTTGTCCACACCGGCCTCCTTTCCTCCCTCCAATCACTAGCTAATAGCGCACAAATGTGCTCTTCTTATAGCGAAGCATTTGATTGCACCACAGAGAGGAAAGGAGTAATGCGGTGTGACACCAGATGGGGCGTAGAAGACCCTTTGCCTGGCGCTGAATTAGAAGTACGTTTTATTTTCATTTCCAGCTTTGTCCTTGGAAAACCAGGGGTGAGAGGGTGGACACGCTATCAGTGCCCACTAGGGAATTTTATAATAAAATATCTTATTAATAAAAAAAGGTTAGAGTAACCAATTAAGGTTCCCCATAGAGTATCTACAGTAGCCGTATCCTAATGTCCCACAGTGGGTGAGATTGTGTTTTTATTACTCATTCCCTGCAGCGCACTTTGAAAAATTCAAATTGTTTTGGGTGCTAATGGTAAATAGTACATTTGCATCCTGCGGTGCACTTCATATCAGAGAGTCAAATAGAACAGTCAAATACTGTGGTTACAGTGCACTTTGAAAAATTCTAATTATTTTGGGTGCTAAATAGTACATTTGCATCCTGCGGTGCACTTCATATCTAAGAGTCAAATAGAACCATCAAACACTGTGCTTACAGCGCATTTTGAAAAATTCAAATTGTTTTGGGTGCTAAATAGTACATTTGCGTCCTGCGGTGCACTTCATATCTGAGAGTCAAATAGAACCATCAAATACTGTGCTTACAGAGCAGTTTGACCCATTCAAAATTTTGCGGTGATAAAAAGTAAATTTGGGGCGTGCACTTCATATCTGAGAGTCAAATAGAACCGTCAAACACTGTGCTTACAGAGCAGTTTGCCCAATTCAAATTTTTGTTTGGGTGCTAAATAGTACATTTGCGGTGAACTTCATATCTGAGAGTCAAATAGAACCGTCAAACACTGTGCTTACAGCGCACTTTGAAAATTTTGCGGTGATAAAAAGTAAATTTGGGGTGTGCACTTCATATCTGAGAGTCAAATAGAACCATCAAATACTGTGGTTACAGCGCAGTTTGCCCAATTCAAATTTTTGTTTGGGTGCTAAATAGTACATTTGCGGTGAACTTCATATCTGAGAGTCAAATAGAACCGTCAAACACTGTGCTTACAGCGCACTTTGAAAATTTTGCGGTGATAAAAAGTAAATTTGGGGTGTGCACTTCATATCTGAGAGTCAAATAGAACCATCAAATACTGTGGTTACAGCGCAGTTTGCCCAATTCAAATTTTTGTTTGGGTGCTAAATAGTACATTTGCGGTGAACTTCATATCTGAGAGTCAAATAGAACCGTCAAACACTGTGCTTACAGCGCACTTTGAAAAATTCAAATTGTTTTGAGGGCAAAATAGTACATTTGCTTACATTGCAGTTTTAAAAATTCTAATTCTTTAGGTGCTAAAAAGTCAATTTGGTGCCTGCACTTCATATATGAGATTCAAAAAGAACCGTCAAATACTGTGCTTACAACACATTTTTAAACATTTAAATTCTTTAGGTGCTAAAAAGTCAATTTGGTGCCTGCACTTCATATCTGGTGTATGTGTGCAACACTGGCTAGTTACCGCTCAAGAAAGTCTAAAGACGTTTTAAAAAAGTGAAAAATAAGTGTTATTGTGATCGCTTCATATACAGAAGCATTAATGTACATTTCTATATTGTGTAAAGACACAACTACAAAGTTAAAAACCAAACACCAAAACAACGTGGAAGGAAGCTCATGCCAGTGACATGTGCAGTTTGGAGGAAGAGGCGCTGGTTGCACAGAGGCACCAGCACAGCATAAGAGGGAGCAGGGTGTAAAGCGGAGTGGCCGTCCCCTAGCGCTCATCGGCATGTATTATCTTTAGAATTCCCACAGTTATCCAAGTAACAGATGGAGCGATAAAAGGAAGCATAACAGATTTAACGAGCCATTTGCAGTTTCACAGTCAGGGGGGAAGTCGGGTGACCGGGACCCAGACACTGTCTGGGTGGCGGTCGGACGACCGTGACCCAGTATACCTGATGTTGAAGTTTGGAGTCACAGTGTGGAATGGATTAAAAGGGTCTGGTGCAGGGTAACGCACGCCCCCTGGTGTTGAGCACCAGCGTTTGTGCGGCCACATACCAGGACCCTGATGCAGCTTCAGCGAGCAGCAACAGGTGATAGTGGAGTTTCAGCTGCAGCACACATGGGTCAGTCGCTCTGCACCAGACTTTCCCTCCAATTGATCCAAATTAAAGGATTTAAAGTGGACTCATTACAATTACAGGGCCTCGAAAGAGTAGTGTATTGTTATTTGTCATCACTACCTCCCTGCGTCGGGAGTGGGTAATTTGCGCGCCTGCTGCCTTCCTTGGATGTGGTAGCCATTTCTCAAGCTCCCTCTCCGGAATCGAACCCTGATTCCCCGTTACCCGTGGTCACCATGGTAGGTGCGGAAAATTGCATCGAAAGTTGATAGGGTAGACATCCATCACGGGGACATGCGATCGGCATGAGGTTATCACAGACAAGCGCAGCCGCCTGTCCACGGCCAACGTGGACAAGGTCATGTTTATTAAAATGAACCAGGCATGGATCCCACCAGACTTGTCTGTACCTAGTGCAGAATAGACATTTATACCGGCCTCATCCAGCCATTGTTATACTCAAGTGCACTTATTCTTTTTTTTCTTTTTTTATATGTCCCAATATTTTGGGGGCTACCCCAATTAAAAAAGCAAAAACAAATAAAAAACAGTGTTGGCTACCTCCTCCTCCACCGCCGCTTCCACCTACACTGCCACGGTGTATACCCAGATATATCAGAGCTGCTGCAGAAAGTGCGGGCTGTCTGTGCATGCTTTTGGCGTTCTAACCCTGCTGCTGCTCGCCTGTCTGCGCTGCAGCGTAATTTCAGCCTTCCCGCTCACCGCCTCATATGCGACGTGCCCACAAGGTGGAACTCCACCTTGCACATGCTGGAGAGACTGTGAGAGCAGCAGCAGGCGATAGCGGAGTTTCAGCTGCAGCACGCATGGGTCAGTCGCTCTGCACCACAGCACCACTTCACCACCAATAAGTGGGCCTCCATGCGAGACCTGTGTGTCATGCGCTGTTTCAAGGACTCCACCAACATGGCCAGTGCAGTTGATGCTGTTCTCAGCCTTACTATCCCGCTTCTATGTCTCCTTGAAAAAACGCTTTGGGCGATGATGGAAGAGGATGTGGCACAGGAGGAAGAGGAGGAGGAAGAGGGGTCATTTCCATGGTTATCAGGCCAGTCATTCACAAGTGGCTCAGAGGATGGGTTCCTGCACCAGCATAGGCCAGGTACACAATTGTCCAGCATCTCCACACTCAACCATGGAAGCGTTCAGCTGTCCATGTCCCAAACACTGGAGAGAAAGAGGAAGTACCCCCTACCCACCCACGTTCCCTGGCCCTGAATGCCAGCATTTGAAAAATACTGGCCTTTGAAATGCTGTCATTCCGTCTAGTGGAGACGGACAGTTTTAAAAACCTTATGGCGTTATTGGACTGCAAGAAATGCACCGCAGGCCGCAAATGTTTCTTTTTTTTATATGTCCCAATATTTGGGGGCTACCCCAATTAAATAAATAAATAAATAAATAACAGTGTTGGCTACCTCCTGCTTCTCCTCCACCACCGCTTGCACCTACACCACGATGGTCACCGCCTCCTCAACCTATGGGTCACTTAGTATAAACTATGTACACAATAGCAGAGGCTTGTGGAGGCCTTTTCTCCATGCATCAGGAGTTGAGCTCAGTTTGAACAATGAAAGTGAATACCCTGCACTCCAACCCTCTCTCAAATTGATAATTCTGTTGATCCTCCTGACAGCCATGGTTTAGATTTTGATTTATGTTCTTCCAAAGCTAAAATAAAAGATTCCATCTAGTGCTATTTTATGGCTCAGCTGTATTTTTAATTTTTATGTATTTTAAGTGATTTCCCTATCCACATTTGTTTGCAGTGCTCTTGTCATACTCTTACCCCCATTTTACTTCCTTTTGCAGCCCTCTAGCCCTTTCCAGGACTTTTTTAGAGGCATTTTAGTGCCCAAAAGTTCGGGTCCCCATTGACTTCAATGGGGTTCAGGGTCAAATTCGGGGTCAAGTTCGATCCCGAACCTGGACTTTTTTTCGAAGGTCGGCTGAACCCGCCGAACCTGAACATCCAGGTGTACACTCAACTCTATATGTGATTACTATGTAATAAATTATTTTTCCATAGAATCCATCTTCGCATTCACAACTTTTTGCCACATATCTCTAAAATTAGCATACAATACAATCAAACTTTACTTAACAGGCATACAACACTATATGTTAACTAGTTATCCAGACAAAGCTCAATTTCTAGCACCCAGTCAAAAGTGTCATTAGAGGTATTCAGAGGCTAACAATTCATAATCCCATTAAAAGACTTCCAATAGATTGTATACTGTTTAGGAACATCTCCCATTTACTAGACGAGACCCCATTTGAGAAGGTCACTAACCTGATAATCAAATCCGCAGCCTACATAGCTTTCTATGGTTTCTTGAGACCTACAGAATTTTCTGTGGAGAAGTCATGTCTTAAGAAAAAATACCTAACTAAAATACAAGACCACTATATCCTGTCAATTTCTCATACCAAAACGAGCCAGACTGGCCCACCAGTAGAGATTTAATATTACCCTACCTCTACCAAGTGGTGTCCAATCCACATTCTGGATAAGCTAGTTAAGACACAGCTTACTACTGACCCCGAATCCCCACTATTAGCCATTCAAGGGAAACCCCTAACAACCAAACAGTTCATGCTTTACATTCGTACATTGTTACTCAGGCTAGGACACAACCCGCATTAGTTCTCTGGCCATTCATTCCGTATTGGGGCGGCCACAGCAGCTTCCGGTATTCACGTACCAACACATATCATTAAAAATATGGGACGTTGGAAATCTTCCGCATACAGCAGGTACATCCCTAATCCAGCGAAAGAAATTAGATTAGCTTTCCATGAAATGTCTAAATAATGTATTGCTAAATAAAATATGTCTGACAAAAGAAATCGTTTTCTTAAATTTTTGCCCTCTTTTTACAGGTCTAACCTCACGTTGGTTTTGGCACACCTCACCGACTTTGTTCTTACTAAACTTTCATTATATCATACCATACATTCCTCTAAATGTGCCGTACACAAATATATATATATAGTATTAATATTTATTTTAATATTGTACCCTGTTGTAACAATGCAGTATTTGTGGGCCCAGGACATACTTGAAAACAAGAGAAATTTCAATATATCCTCCCTGGTAAAATATTTGATAAATAAATAAATAATTTATAGAAATAAAACTTTATAGAATGATGTGGTGCTTCCCTGTAATGAAATTAAGCAGTTATAAATTATAATGCATTTCTAAATAACACATTATTTGTTATGTAAAAGACAAATTTGCTACAACAAATTGGAGTATAAAGATTATAAAATTAATTAAATTTTCTTCATTAAAATAATGAATATAATTAGTAAAGTATAAAAAAAAATGAATAATGATTTCTGAAGAGAATATTGTAATAAATGTATTTCCAATTTAGATGCCAGTTACTGAAAGGATCAAAACTAAATGGATCATTTTAAGCAATTAAAAATGTATTCATATTCTTATGGTATAAGCTTGGGGTCTCTGTGGAAATATAATTGATACGTTGTGTCTCTTTTTTAATCATTTTGCTTTTTATTAGAAACATTGAATGTGATGGCAGTTAAGAACCATTCGGCCCATCTAGTCTGCCCAATTTTCTAAATGTTTTCATTAGTCCCTGGCATTATCTTATAGCCTATCCCACGTATGCTGAAACTCATTTACTGTGTTAACCACTTCAGCTGGAAGGCTATTCAATGCACCCACTACCCTCTCAGTAAAGTAATACTTCCTGATATTATTTTTAAACCTTTGCTCCTCTAATTTAAGACTAAGTCCTCTTGTTGTGGCAGTTTTCTTCTTTTAAATATAGTCCCCTCTTTTACTGTGTTGATTCCCTTTATGTATTTAAATGTTTCTATCATATCCCCCTCATCTTTCCTCCAAGCTATACATGTTAAGATCCTTTAACCTTTCCTGGTAAGTTTTATCCCGCAATCCATGAACCAGTTTAGTAGCTCTTCTCTGAACCCTCTCTAAGGTATCAATATCCTTCTGAAGATACGGTCTCCAGTACTGTGTACAATACTCCAAGTGAGGTCTCACCAGTGTTCTGTACAATGGCATGAGCACTTCCCTCTTTCTACTGCTAATACCTCTCCCTATACAACCAAGCATTCTGCTAGCATTTCCTGCTGCCCTATTACATTGTCTGCCTACCTTTAAGTCATCAGAAATAATCACCCCTAAATCCCTTTCCTCATATGTTGAGGTTAGGACTCTATCAAATATTCTGTATTCTGCCCTTGGGTTTTTACGTCCAAGATGCATTATCTTGCACTTATCCACATTAAATGTCAGTTGCCACAATTCTGACCATTTTTCTAGTTTACCTAAATCATTTGTCATTTGGCTTATCCCTCCTGGAACATCAACCCTGTTACATATCTTAGTATCATCAGCAAAAAGACATACCTTACCATCAAGACCTTCTGCAATATCACTAATAAAAATATTAAAGAGAATGGGTCCAAGTACAGATCCCTGAGGTACCCCACTGGTGACAAGTCCAAGCTTTGAATATATTCCATTAACTACAACCCTCTGTTGCCTGTCACTCAGCCACTGCCTTACCCATTCAACAATATTGGAATCCAAACTTAAAGATTGCAGTTTATTGATAAGCCTTCTATGTGCAACAGTGTCAAAAGCCTTACTGAAATCTAGGTAAGCAATGTCTACTGCACCACCCTGATCTATAATTTTAGTTACCCAATCAAAAAAAATCAATAAGATTAGTTTGGCATGATCTCCCTGAAGTAAACCTATGTTGTCTCTGATCTTGAAATCCATGTGATTTTAGATGTTCAACAATCCTATCCTTTAACATGGTTTCCATTACTTTCCCCAATACTGAAGTAAGGCTTACTGGCCTATAGTTGCCCGACTCCTCCTTACTACCTTTGTTGTGAATGGGCACAACATTTGCTTCTGTGACTACTCCTGTTAACAATGATTGGTTAAATAAATCTGTTAATGGTTTTGCTAGTACACCACTAAGCTCTTTTAATAACTTTGGGTGTATCCCATCAGGTCCCATTGACTTTTTTGTCTTTACTTTTGACGTTTGAAATAGAACCTCTTCCTCTGTAAACTCACATGTAACAAATGACCAATGTGTCCATTTTCCTAACTGAGGCCCATTTCCTTCATTTTCACCTGTAAATACTGAACAGAAATATTAATTGAGGCAGTCAGCTAGACCTTTATTCTCTTCTACATACCTTCCTTCTTTTGTTTTTAATCCTTGTTTTACTTTCCTTTTCCCATTTATATATCTAAAATATGTGTTGTCCCCCTTTTTTACTGACTTTCTTACTGACTGTTATTTTCTCTTCTGTGTGTGATTTGAAAGCTCGTATAACTTGCTTAGTCTCTTTCTGTCTAATCTTATAGATCTGCCTATCTACCTCACTCTGTTTTTTTTTTATAATTACTAAATGCTAACTTTTAGTTTTTTTACT